ACACACACACACACACACACACACTCACACACACACACACACATACGATATACAATGTAGATTATACTACTATATGATTCCACCAAATCAGCTTATCTTTGTAAAATGGCACAGCTTCTTAAATATCTGAATGTACACTCTTAACATCAGTTAATCAAGCATTATATTATAATTAAGCACTATTAAATGACAGAATTAGTGATTAGTAATTACATATTTGTAATTTTAACTGAACTTAGGACTAGTGGTGGTGTTTAAGATATTGTTGGTCATAGATAATAGTAATTATTATTAAAAGATAATACTACTACTAATACTACTACTACTGGGTTCATGAATATTAATCACATTGTCAGCGTTTGCTCAAACTCATTTGTTGAAATCAAAACGGGACGGTAATAGTTGAGCGCCAGCCAATGAGATTGCCGTTTGCGCATTAGCTCCGCCCACTACCGGAGAAGTCTGCATATCTTCTGCTTGTTCTTAAAAGCTGAATAATTCCAAATGAACTCCGTTATTTTGACAGGAAAATATAACAAACAATATCGTTTACATGTAGCGTGTCGATTCAGTGTGCTATTTAAGACTCTCGTTCTCTCTTTGCATGTGTGAGAAACGGCGCTATCAGCAAAGCGACGGCGACTCGTGTGCCTTCACACTAGAGTTTATGGTGCATCAAATACAGGTGTGCTGCGCATCCATTAAGATGAATTGAAAAAGTACAGATCGCTTGATGGAGAGCATTTCTCAAGCGCTCAGTCAGAGTGTTCAGCGAGTGAAAATATATCTGTGCTAAACTTATAATTAGCCTCGAACACACACACTGGCGAGTAAAATCTAAGAATTTATTAGCCAATGGCTAACGATAGACATTTAGTCGCCCAGAGTAAGATTTAATCGCATATGCGAGTGATTTACTCACAATGTAGAGGGTTGACTGGTAACACAAGCAGGAGTTTTTTTCCCTCGGTTAGGGTTGCATGCTATACAGGTAGGCTACTAAAATGTGGTGTGATATGAATATTTCACACATTTATGAGTTTTTTGGTGGGCCAATATATTGGCGCTAATTAAAATTTTCACAATTGGCTAAGTATTGGAAGCAGGACTTTCATTTTGACTATTTATTTGCTATATATATATACTGGGATTACAGAATCAAGAAATTATCTAAAGTATAAATTTTTACAATTTTTTTAATCAAGTTCAAATTATATTTAATTTTCAAATTATTCCCATTTGTTTTGTAAATATGTAAAAAAAAAAATTAGTTGCCACGCTTGCTATGCATGTTGATATCATATATCATCTTTATATTTGCTCTCGACTTTCTAAAATATTGGCATTGGCCATCATAAAATCCATATTAGTTGACCTCACAATAATAGTCATTTATATATGACGCTGTTAGGTAGTGGTTAATTTGCATTTTGATTGGCCTCATCTGCCTTTACATGATACATATTATGTAGCGTAGACCAGGGACTATTGCCTGTTCACATGTTGTCTGTAACTGTTATTTTGCACTATGAATCTCAAACTTTGATTGAAGTATTCCCATATTTATTTGCTTGTAATTAGTGTCAGTCTATTTATCCTAAAACAGTAAATAAAACTCATCCTTTCAAAAAGTAAATGTTTCTTTTTTCCTTTCAGTGTCCCTGTGCTTGCCAATAAACACTCAGGGCTCAGGAGAAACAGGAGACACACCAAACTCAGAAACAAGTCTCATTCAACCCTCTGGAGGGGCTGGTCCTTCCTCTAGCCCCTTGAGGAGGCCCCCACCAGCACACAGTTCCCCTGGGTCCTGTTCCACACCACAGAATTCCACATCTCCCCCTATACACTTCCCTCACCTTCCTCACTCTCACCCTTCTCCCTTGGGACATCCCCATTTGCTTGCGGGAGCTCCTCATAGGCCGATCACCCTAAACCCACCAAGACCTGGGAATAGCCACTTGAGCACCAATGGGATTAGAAGTCAACCCCTCTCAAGGGTGCCAAATGGCCCTTCTGACTCTCCCCATCAAGACAAGGAAGGTCCTGTCCGACAACCACCTGTCAGAAAGCCCCCTCCCAAGCCTGTATGGGTGGATGTTTCTGTATTGCCAAGGATACCAAAAATTAAAAGGGACAGTACCTCCAGTGCGAATAGTAGCAGTGGTAGCAGTACTTTGCCTGGGTCTTCAGCTAACAGCTTAGCAGGCAATAGGGAACGTACCGTTGACCAGCAAGGTACGGGTGGGAGTCAGCAAAACAGGACAGTGGATGCTCAGAGGCAAAGAGCAGACAGTACTGGTGCTTCATCTTCATTTTCTAGCTCTTTCACCTCCACTACATCATCTTTTAGCGCCTCTTCAAACTCACGCCCGTCCTCTTCTTCCATCAGTTTCCGTATAAACTCTAGCGGAAACCCCTGGCAAGCTCAGCGTCTTCCTGCATCAGGAGGGACTCTGCCTGGAGGTGATGAGGAAGCAATAAAGAGGAATAATAAAAGTAAACGGATGCTGTTGTCTTTAAGAGCAAAAGCCAAAGAGGAGAAGAGTGAGGTCTATGATCCCTTTAACCCTACGGGGTCTGATTCCTCTGATAATGAACCAGAAAATGAGGGTCCTGATATTAGCGTCCAAAATACTGCACCTCGGGTGCCAATTGGATTCAGTGAGAGTGCCTGTCATCAAATCAAATCTGAGCCTCTGGATGTACACTCCGATACAGAGAGAGGCTTGGAAATGTGTGCAGAAGTTAAAGCAGAGCCAGAGCCTTTGTGGGACAGGCCATGTAAAGAATCACCCCATCATTCAGACAGTCAAGCACCCGCAGGAGGTCCTGCTTTGGATTCTACTAGTTGCGAAGAAGGCATGGATACTGGAAGTGGTGGAACTCCAGGAAGCCCTTTTCAGAAAACCGAAGAGCACTCCAGATCAAGCTGGTCATGCAGTGAAATAAATGTTAAGGTGGAGGTAAAGTCTGAACCTGAGACTGGAACTCTACCCATCAGACCCCAATCAAAGTCGCTAGAAGATTCTCCAGTCAATCTGCAACAAGCTTCTAAAGGAAAAGGAAACGGGGTGTGTAAAGAGCTGCCTTCAGTCAGTGGTGCTTTTAATTCTTCTAACATAGCTAAAGACAAGGAGGAAAGACCTCACCAGTCCCAGTCCAAAGATAGGAAGCGGTCACCATCAAACTCGCAAAGCCTTTCATCTAAAGACTCTCATAAAAAGAAACACTCAAAGTTGAAAGAAAAGAGGAGGTCACGCTCAAGGTCAAGAGATCGGCAGAGATCTCGTTCGAAATCCCGCTCAAGATCGAAAGAAAGGCGACGTCTGCGATCAAGAGACCGGAGGTGTTCCTCGAGTTCCAGCAGTAGAGAAAGGAAGACGAGCGGGAGAAGAGCGAGTCATGAGAGAAATGACAACCGAGGGAGAGAAAGACGTAGGAAGAGGTCAAAAGAAAGAAGGCGCTCCCGATCCCGTTCGTTTTCTAGATCTAGAGAAAGGAGGAGAAAATCAACGTTTCAGGGTGAGACAAAGTTAAAGAGGCAGAGGTCAAGATCAACATCTAGAGAGCGTAAACGGCGAGAAGAACGATCAGAGATTTCTCGGCGTACTGAAAGGAGCTCCCATAAGTCTGCAGAGCCCATGTCCACTGAATTACATGAGTCTGCTCTTCGTGCAAACAAGACTACCACGCCTGTGAAGACAGAGCGAGATGCAAGACCACAGGAGTGTGAGACGACTGTTGTATTACAATCTGTTAAACAAGAGACCACCCAGTCAGTTGAGATCACAGCCCATGGACTTGAGTCATCAAGACATGATGACCCGACCAGAACACTTCAAGAAAGCGAGGATGATGTTTCACTTGAGCTGCTTAAGCCTAATGAAGTTAAACAGGAAGAACCTTGGCCCACTGGTTCTGTCAAGGAGTTGAAAGACATCAAAAAGGAGGAAGACGTCTGTCTCAACTTGTGTGGAGAATTAGATGGCGTTAAAAAGCTAAAGAAAGAAGAGATGACATCTTTAGACATCTTCAGCCTGGAATCACCATATGTTAATGAAATTAAATCAGACAGTGCTGATTTAGAGAAGAGCCACGCTAGCTTACAGGATGAGATGAAAGTACAAGAAATGGTGGTTGAGCCAAAAAAGATAAAAATTGAAAATATATGGCCTGATGAAGATGATTCACCAAGCTGCAGTGACAACCCTCTTGTCATCAATTTGGATACGCCTGCCATAGATGCAGTGAACTGTATAAAGGAGCCCACTGAGTCTTATCATTCGCCACTTTTGGACGAGGACATGGAGATGTCACCTCTCCAACCGCCAGATCCGCCAATAAAACAAGAACTTGGTATTTCCTCCGATGAAGATATCAGTGTTGATTACTTGATTGATAATTTGGACTTCATTAAGAAGGAAATGAGTGAGAGCTCTGTGGCCGACTCAACAGAAGCTGTCGACCCCAAATCTGCCGTTCCAGAGACTCCAGCAGGGAACAAGCAAACTACAGAGATTGTTACGGCTGGTGCAAAGTCTAAATCGCAGGGAAAACGAGTTACTTGGAATCTGCAGGAACAAGCAGAACCCCAGTCTGAGAATTTAAGCAGTGAGTAAACATTTTTTCGCTGCACTACTTCTTGACTTTTCCCATTTAGTTTTGCTCCCCATCCACACCAAGTCTGAATTTAAGATTCAAGTTTCAGTAGGTGCAGAGTTCATTATAGACCAGGGGTGTCCAATCCAGTGTCCCACAGAGTTCAGCTCCCACACACTTGCCTGAAAGTTTCTTGAGAATCTGAGGACCTTGATTAGCTGGTTCAGGTGTGTTTTATTAGGGTTGCAGGATAGTGGCCCTCCAGGAACCGGTTCGGACACCCCTGGTTAAGCTCCAACTTGCCCCAACACACTTGTCTGGGAAGTTTAGCCTCCTGACAAATTCAGCCTTTGAAAAGAGAGCCAGCATTTGAGGTTTAACACTGGCTCAGCTGTGTTTAATTGGGGTTGGAGCTGAACTGTGCAGGTCAGTGGCCCTTCAGGAGCAGGATTGGACACCCCTGGTCTGTAACGAACTCTGCAAGTATTGAGATAATAACTAAATTACTTCAGTCACATCAGATTTGGTGTGACGCATTCAGGCAACATAAAGCTAAAATGATTTAGAAAACTAGTAAAATACTCTGAATGTTTTCCCGTGCCTCTTTTAGAACTTGCACTCTTCAAATTAAAATTCAAGCAAGAAGGGTCGCGAAGGTCTGCTACAACCCCACAAAATCAGGTACAGACCCTACAGATACTTTGTCTTTCTTGCAGTGTCTTAAAGGGATAGATTCCCCCCACCCCACCCACCCAATTAAAATAGTCAATTTTCTTAATCTTGTATTTGTTGAACTTGAGGCTCACACTTGCTTGACTTTATTGAAGAACATTGATGTCCAATGTAAACCACATTGACTTTTCATTGTGTGTTTTAAAAAACTGACATTTTTCAAAATATTTTTTGTGTGCCACATACAGACATACTGTTTTAGGACAATTATAGTAAATAATTGCAAAACTCTTTCTAACTGAAGAAACTTCTGTGGGTTACATAAATTGAGCCTCATGAACAAACCTTTGAATTTTGATAACACAAAAATCAATATGATATTGTCATTTGAAATTTCTCCACCCTTAATAAAAATGTTTTTAGATACCAGTGAATATCATAATTATTGCCCATCATATGTAGTTGCTTCAAGCAACCAGAGGGTGTCGTCATGTCACTCTTTGCATTCACAATTTGCAGCTCGCTTTCTCAAGGAGGTGAAAATAATGCCGATGCAATTTCTATTGTACCCATGTGATCGAAACTGAAAGCAGCCAAATAAGGCTTCACTTCAGAAGAAATTAAAGTTAGCATTACTCTTGGAAATTGCATCCTCCTTTCACAAGGAGTGTCCCAGACAAAAACAAGTTTATCACAATTAATCAGGGTCATTATGTCATGTGAATTTTCAGCAGTTGACACTAAATGTTTCTGTGATGTTTTGCATTCATCAGCTAAAGTATAATTGCTTAAAATAAAAAAAACAATCATTAAGGTGCAACAAATTTGTGCTTGATAAATTAGTACTTCACATTCCCTTCAGCAAAGGGAAATCCCAGAGGATGACAGGAAGTTGAGACGCCTCATAAATCTTTTAAACGTTTTCAGGGAATTTTCATTATCGTGGGCAGTTAGAGTGCTGTTAATGGTGCTTCAGTACTACAATAATCCCATATTATTCCATATTAAAGGATAAAGCTTTATCTCAGGCTGAACCAAAACTTATGGCATCAGTCTCCAGCCTATCTCCCCAAGATGAATCCAGCAAACCAAAATCCCACAAAGAAGTTTTACAGGACCCCAATCAAAAAGACAAGGTGACTAGAGCACGATTACATCATATCGTTATCTCATAATTCGTGGCATTGTCTTGATGTCATGAATTTTTTAATTCATTGTTTGTCTTTCTGTAGTATATAAAGAAACTTCATATGCAAGAGCGAGCAATAGAGGAGGTCAAACTGGCCATAAAGCCCTTCTACCAGAAGAGAGACATCACAAAGGAAGAGTACAAAGAGATTCTGAGGAAAGCCGTCCAGAAGGTAATTGCGTGACGTCAGGTGTTTTCTTCTGTGGTTGTTTTTCCATATCCACTTCCTTGTATGGCATGTTAGACCCGAAGTAAACACCTGACCAGCACATTTGCATATGTAAATACTATTTGTTTTCCTCCACTCCAATGGCCCGTTTCTTCAATGAATTATGAAAGCATTGTCATGTTTCTAAACTGACCCTATTCATGTCTTGTTTGCCCCATTCTCAAGGTGTGTCATAGCAAGAGCGGTGAGATTAACCCGGTGAAAGTAGCCAACCTGGTCAAAGCCTACGTGGATAAGTACAAACATGCAAAAAAACACAAGAAAGAGGAAACTGTGCAAAGCCAACACACAGATTCCCAAACTCCAATGTGAGGCCGAGGGTAACGGCTACATTTCAGATGATATCTTATAGCGATCAACAGTAGATTTCATTGTTTTTTTAAAAATCTGTGCATTTCTACAATGCCATGGGAAACTCTTAAGGGCTCGTCATCTTGTCATCAGTTGTCAAATGAACCTTTTTGAATGTTTCTATGTTTTCTTCTGAACGTAAAGATCATTTGAAAGTATCTGGGAGTGTCCGGATACAGAATGGGTTGAAAAATCTTTAAGTTTGCCATTGTTCAAAGCAGCACCCTCTTCAAGAGTGTTGAATACCATGCTATTTTAAGCTGATGATCCAACAGGAAGTGTAAGTTGTTAAACAGGCTCTTGCATTGTCAGACTAAAAAATGACATGTTTGCATATATGTATGCATCATATATATACACAAACACAATACTCTTGAACCTGCCATTCCACCATGAATAATTGACACTGGAGAGCACAGTACATTTTTTTTTTTTTTGTGGTTAATGAGAATATATAAGCATTATGTTGAGGAACATTAGCAGGATCGTACATGCAGAAGATCCTCTGGGATGTTCTGTGTCTCTCAGAAAACCATCAAAGAGTATTTATTCGAATAAAAATATCATTTTGATATCCAGTCTTCATGAGACTCTGGAATCAGTTTGGTGGACTGATTTCTTTAAAAGCTTTTTGTTTACTAATATAGCTAAAACAGGAAAACTTGCAGTAGACCTCACCCTCGTTGAAATAGTTTTGTTGTAAATAGAGAAATAGTTTTGTTCGCATGACACGTGAACGGCTGTAATGTATCTTTTCTGTTCAGTTGAAAAGACTATTTTCATTTTAAAACCTTGTCAGCTGAGTTTTTTTTTCTGTTTGTTGATGACATTCAGCATATAAAATAATGAATCTTTTCTTTCAAACATTGATAGCTAAAAGTGTATTTCAGAAGTTTTTTTTCTGAACCCTTTACACTAATTATGTCATTTTAATTGCTTGAGGAATGTTTGTATGATTTCTGAATTGATCATGTAACTTGAGTTGCATCTCATGGTGAGGCGCACAGAACTGTGCCAGTTTTCCTGTGGCAAATCGCATCGAGTTGATCTGAGGGTTGATTCCAGACGTGAGAGTTGATTCTGATCTCTTAACCTGATTGAACTTTATCATATGAATCCAAGCAGTCACAGAATACTTGATTCGCGATGTGAATTGAAGCATCCGTGTTGCGGTCTTTGTAAATAATTTTATTAAATACTTTAAAAAAAAAAATCCTTCGGCATGTTTCTTAAAGGGGTATGTTTGTTTTACAGTTAAAAATTGGTTAATATTGAATGATTCATGTACAATAAATCATATATTCTGGAAATAATGTTTAGTTAGCAGGAATTTGAAAATGTTTATTCATGAAATGTGCTGTATAATTGTATTTTATGTCTTGAAATTTAAAGACATGTACAAAAATACACATATATTTAAAAGTATTACACTGTGCATTGACACAAATTTCATTTTATATATGTTTATATGCATAACATTTTTATACATACTTCATCTTTAGATACTGGCGTCTGCGTCTTTCAATAAAACAATACACAAAAGTCAAACAGTCGTTTTTTAAAATAATAGTACATTTAATGACACCAAACTTTCTAGACATCACATTCATAAAGCGACAGACAAGAAACAATACAAGGGCAGCCCTTTGGGCGAAAGGTGAAAGATTCTTCACTAGAAGACAGGATATTAAAATGAGGCTCTAGCGCTCATTAGAAAATATTAACAGGAAAAACAATGTTTCAGGTCATTTGAACAATACCGTTTTCTTTGAGATTGCTATTACATGGTAGAGTGACCAAGACCTCTGAATGCCCCATGGAAATCACCTCTGGAAAGTTTGCGCTATAAATATAACAGTAACTAATTGAAATTCTATCTCACTATATGTGTGTGTGTGTGTGTGTGTGGAAAGGCATGTCAGCTGACTGATTTCATGCTTTAGGCCACTGAAGGCAGACCCAAAGAATTTATGAGGTCAAAAAGGCTGTTGTGGGAGATCTGCAAGCTAACGTTTTCATTGCGAAGAGAAGACGCTCCCTCCATTTGAGCTCTCTCATGAAGTTCACGGCAAATCAGAGGTACAACCTGTGGAAATGGAAAAGATACGTTATAACACTGAAACACAAACAAAACAACTCGAAATGGGTTTCTGTTTTGTTCAAGGTATTTACTTTGACAGTAATAAGTTTCTTCTCCAGTGGTTTTCCATCCGGGAGCTTCTCTCCAAAGCACAGGTAGATGGTGTAATCCGGAGAACCCCGTCTGTTCTCTATAAAATCTATCAGATCTGAAAAATGTTGATATTTTTCAATCAAAATGGAAACACATACCACATCACAATACAGTTGAGGTGCCAAGGCTATCAGGACAGCATTTGTAACATGCTTTCCATTCAAACAGAAAACTTTGTATATAAAAAAATAAAAAAAACACTTGCACTTTCAATGGGGAAAGTTTACAGGAAGCTTTAAAAGCATGAATGTGAAGCTTGTTAAGCATCTGATAAGCAATTCTGTCACTTTGTCCATAAATTAAAGAAATTCATGGAAAGATTTTTTCCCCCCACACAATAACTATGGTAACAGGGTTGAAGGCTAAGCATTCAACCCTGCATTTTTTTTTACTTGTCTTCTAGCTATGTTAAAGGGGAACAATCAGTGTAACAGGGTTGCAAATTTAAGTTTTTTTTTCGTTCTAAGCAATTTGTCAGTGAAAGGAGGTGCTTCACAATTATTTTCAATTTTTATACATTTATTTTATGTAAGCGTTAAGTTTAATATTTTTAATGGCAATTTGAGTAATAGGGTTGCATACGGGTTTTTCACATTTTAATTTGTCGCTCATTAGGTTTTAGCTAGTTTGGGACTAAATTCTGGTTTTGTAGTTAGTGATAAACATGTTTTCCATAAATTAAAGATTTTTTTTTTTTTACCACAATAACTATGGTAACAGGGTTGAAGGCTGAGCAGTCAATTCTGCAATTTGTGAAAAAGTTGAAAAAAATGGAATGAGATTTAGTCTCGTCTTCCAGCCATGCTGTAGAAAGGGCCCAATGATGTCACTTCCTAAATGCCACAATTTTAGTGAATATTCTGTTTTTGTAATGGGGAACAATCATGGTAACAGAGTTGCAAATGCAAGAAATTTTTTGTTGACAATTTGTCAGTGAAAGGAGATGTTTAACAGTTGTTTTAAATGATTACATTATGCATGTATTTTATATTTTATAATATAAAATTAATTTCAAAATGAATGTCAAACCGAGTAACAGGGTTGCATACAATGCTTTCCCATAAATAAATCTGTCACTCAGTAGGTGTTAGCTAGTTTGGGACCAAATGCTTTTTTAGTTAGTGATAAATGTTTTGTCTATAAATAAAATTTTGTTTCCCCTGCACAGTAACTATGGTAACAGGGTTGAAGGATGCTGCAATTAAGAAAAAAAATTTTTTTTTTTTTTTTTTGAGAAAATGGCATGAGATTTTTTACTTGTCTTCCTGCCATGCTGTAGAAAAGGTCTCAATGATGTCACTTCCTGTATGTTGCAATTTTAGCGAATATTCTGTATTTGTAATGGGGAACAATCATGGTAACAGGTAAAGCTGAAAATTGTGTTTGTGGTAATAAAAGTAGATGATAATTAAAATGAGTTCCCTACAATAAATTTGATATTAATTTGATATTAATTAATAAATGATCTCTATAATATTAGAGATTATTCAGCGTGATTAATAAATATTCCTTTCTCATCGTTCATACCTCTGAAGTACTTATCGAAGCAGAGCAGTTGCTCTCTGGTGTTCTGGTGCAGTTTCCTGGGCTCTGGGTTCTGGATCTCAGATGGGTCGCTGGTGCTGACGAAGACTTTACACTGGTCCTGACGGAAGCCGTAGATGCCATACTGGTTTACCTCCAGCTGCAGACCTCTCTGAATGCTGTCCAGGATGCGTTTAGTGAACTGGATCTGTTTTTGGTCGATCATCAGACCCTCGGTGGATGGGAAGCGGATTGGCTCTCCTCTCAGCTCAGATGGGTCGCACTGGTAGTGAAACTGAACGAGTGGCAAACACAGGCGAGTTTTCAAAACTTCTGTTTTTCTGTAGTTGATCGAGATCTCCATGTCACAGAGAGCTGGAAGGTTACATTGCTGTCCTAGAAATAACATTATAGGACAAAGATAGTTTTAAAAATCATTCAAAAATTTGAAAGAACAGCACAGTCCACACTACAACTATAACGGGACAGAGGAACAATATCGTTGGAATCACTTTCACAATGAACGTTTCCAGCTGATGGACGATAAAAACACTGTCAGCCAATCAGAATCCATCGAACCATAAAGAGCTTGAGTATTTAAAGCGGCAGACAACAAAACTTTTGCGCATGCTTTAAATAAAAAAATGTTATCGGGTTGGACACTAATATAGTTATCGTTTATGATGCGAGAACGATATGGCCTTTAGAGATGTCATATTACATATGCAATGTTCTATATACAGACAATGTCAATGGTTCAAATACAACCAACACCCTCTCAAGGCTATTCGTAACTATTTTATGTTTTAACGAACTTGTGGCGAGTTTTTATGAAATCATATGATCTCATTTGTATGTTTTTGTACAATCTGCTTACGGCCTTTTAATTGAAAGTGTCTTTGTCCAGTGTCTGCGCTATTTTACTCCAGAAGTTATGACCGATAAAAATGTCTTTGTACTCTTTTAAACTAGTTGTGACTCTCTTATAACCGCCTCACACAAGCGCTTGTCAATGTGCCCGTCTGTTGTTGCGGTCTCCGCTATTTTGTTGTTGTTCCATCTTTTTAGTCTACTGTGAAACAACGGCCCGGGCCAATTTTGTCACCTTGTGGAACAACGGATTAGTGCAAAACAAATACAATGCGCAGGTGCGACCTGTGCGTACAAAGTTATTTACAAAAATCGGGTGGTGCGCATACTACTCTGGTGACGAAATTTGCATCATGCACACTGTACACAGACCCTCGCGTACGCCAAAACCAAAGTATACTTTGGGCTTTAGGTTTAGGGGTGGACCTTAATGCTTGCTTTTATTCTTAAAAATCACACATTTTCGTATGAATCAAATCATGCAATCGAGCCAACTCGTAAAATAGTTACGATTTTTCATGGTTGAATAAACTGTTGTGTAAAACTGTCGTGTTACCTGTATTGTATGGCAGCTGGTCTGGGGGAGGCGTGTTATTCGGCATGCATGGAACATCAGAGTAGGGAGTCTCATAGTAGTTGCTTGAGGTGGTCGGAATGATTTGTTGGGAACCGTTGTTCCATGCATGGGATTCTGTGAATATAAATTATATTGTATATTAGCATATTGTGAATATGGCATAACAAACGCCAATCCATCTACCTCACTTCCTGCCATTGAACGAAACTTGCTAATATAATGTTGTGCGAGTTGATTGGTGTTTGCATGTGCAGAGTGTTATGGCTAGTTGCCAAGGTGTTGCTACAGTTTTCTGGTTGATTTTTAGAGTATTGCCATAAGGTTGCTTTGGTTCCTGTGTGGATTTGAAAGGTGTGGTCACGTTGGCGAAATTTCTGTGAAATTTTGCTAGCAAAAAAAAGTCCGTTGTCAATGCATCGCCACTCACGAGGAAATCACTTTTTTGTTTGTTTTTGAACCAAGCCGCCTTCTGTTCTGATTGCGAGGATTCATAGCGAAATGACTGGATTTCACCCACAATAATTAAAATAATAGTAAATAAATGTAAAAGAACAGTATAGGTGACGCCACAACAATAACAATACCGTCCCAAAAGAACAATATTATTCAAATCACTTTCACAACGATTTATTTATGTATTTTTTTCAGCTGATGACCCTTAGGATTGTGTGGATTCATAGCGAAATGACTGGATTTCACCCAAGAAAATCTTAAATATTAATAGTATGACGATATATTCTTAAAGGTTGTTCTAAATTTAAAAGAACAGCAAAGATAAGTGAGAACTTTTTTGCCCTCACGCAAAATTCTTAATTGTGTGGATTCCTAATTGACTCGATTGTACAGATTCCGAAATGACTGGGTTTCCCCTGCAAAAATTTTTAAGTATTAATACTATAATGATAACAATAAAGATAAAGTCTTAAAAATAGTTTTTAAATTTAAAAGAATAGTAAAGGTGACACCACAACTATAACAATACAATCACAAAGAAACTATATTATTGCTATCACTTTAACAAACAATTTTTTTTCAGCTGATGATGCATTGGATTGTGCAGATTCTTATTGAAATGACTGGATTTCACAGGGCAACAGTAAATGTGACCACACCTTAAATGTTGGTTGCAAAATCATGGATTGTTTGAATTGCTAACCCTAAATATAGCCATCATAGTGATTCTTACCTGCATGTTGTTCACTTAGATCCATTGTCTCCACCTGGTTGAGCAATTCCTGCTGTAATAAACAAGATATATATTTTATTATACATTTAAAATATCTTTGTACATTATTTTTAATTAACTTTATATTTTAAAATATTTAAAAAAAAATAATAATTATTATTATTTTTATGATATACATATGATGTCTACAGCCAATCATAATCTAGGCCTTACCTCCATTTCTTCAGATATGTCATTAGCTGCACTGTAGAGATGAGGAATGAATGGAAGTTGAACTGGCTCTACATTCTGGATCTCTTGGTGGTCTGAAGAACGAGATTAGCCAGGGCTTTATAAATCAACTCATTTTCCCATGACAAGTGCAGATTGAGCAGTTTAACTCACTTTGAGGACGGATGATGCGATAGACTTTGTGTTGGTCGTCCTGATCTTTGGAGTGATCCTCTAACATCTCGAAGTTTTTTAGACTATGAAGTGCACAACGGAAATTTGTCTTCCATTTCGCTTTGTCGTTAGGGTGCTCGTTGATCTTCCCACTGACCACAGCCCATGCCTGTAAAACACCAAAATTGCAAAAAAGTCCATGTATATTTCAAGTTAGTATAATTCAAATTCATTGATGCATCAGGTGTGAATGGCGTGCAATATCAAACTTTTAAGGTCAAAAGGGGCGGGGCTTCCACTCAAGAGTTAGGCCCTCCTTTGGGAATCCCGCCCCTCCTCCAGCTATATCCCGCATGAATCATTCATGCAGGAGTGAAAAGATGCCAAAGGGGATTGTGACGCAAAGAGGAAGTTACCTTAAATATTTTAACATCGTCGTCCCCAAGGTCTTTTCGGGAGTTGTGTTTCCAGGGGATCCGAAATATGTCATTGCCTATCATGCGCAATCCCTCATATGTCCCACTTTCCACCTGCTCTATGAGCCATGGGCCAAACTGAGGTTTGCCAATTGCACTTCTTGAGGAAGAAAAAAAAGGGGTTCAAATAGATCATAACAGATAGTGAATCAGATATTCACTTAATGTAGTCATCACATGCTGTCATATGCTGCTGCACTGAAAGCTTGTTTTCTTATCTAAATTTTATATTCATTACACTTTTTTACAGAATGAAAGCTTTTTACATAATAAATACATTTTAATGTAATATTGATGTAACATTAAATTACATCACATGCTTTCTCAAAACCTTGCTGCCTACCTATAGACTGCATAGTTGTGCATAAGCGACTTCCGAATTAGCTCAGCTGATATTCAGATACACAGACTTTTTTTCATTCTTGAAATATGTACACATGCAGCAAACGGACGTTTATGTTTCGTTTCGTTTTGTTTGCTTGTTTTACAGCGACCCTGCGCGTCGCGTTTTTAATGCGGCGCGTCAGGTTCAAGCTCTGCTTCTTGCGCTTCGCTCAGCGGCCTGTGAAAACGCGTCTTGGTTTTGAGACACAGCCTATATTTTACAGTCATGATAATAATTTCATCATCTTACCCCTGCATCGCTGCCATGATCTCAGGTGTTTAAGCTGTTCCACTGCTTGGTAGTTTCCAGCGGCTTGGCGTTTCTCTGCTGTTTTATACACACGGAAGCGTCACAGACGCGTCACACAGTAGGAGGAGTGTTCAGTGAAGCCGAAAGCAAAGCGGGTCGTTTTCGAAAATAAAAGCGACGTTCCACTAATTCGTCTTCTTGCATCATCATACCCGGTTTAAGGTAAAGGCTGCTGATGCAAGACCTTTAAATTTAGTGATCTATTGGCCTTAAAATACTTTTCTTGAGAAAATCAGCATATTAGAAGGATTATTAGAAGGGGGGGGGTGGACAGTTGTTTTAAATTGTTCTAATATTTACTGTTAAAATGTCCCCAGTTTTAAAAGCCATAGCCTATTGCATTTTAGTGTTGCTATAGAGATTTGTGTTATGTGAATGTAAAAAAACAATAAGAAAGTTTAAACATTAAAAAGATCATGTGTGATTACATATAGCCATTTAACATTCAAACTAGCATTTTTGTTATTCGTCCTGAATGTCATCTTAAGAGACTCAAGGCCTGGTTTATTGTGATCGTAATAAAAAGTACGTCAGCTGTTGTGTACGTTGTACTATATAAAGAGGAAGGTCCTTGAACTACATAGCCTACAGCATGTTGTATAATTACTACAATAAAGGTGCGTTCACATAGTTGTTTGGCGAAATGTCTCGGGCGAAATCCAGCCATTCCGACAGATAGGCCTATCAGTTTCGCGTGGGCGAGACAAACTTCCGCACGCAGATTTCGCTCGTTCAAGCTGTTCATTCATCTCTTGGTTTTAAAAAAGACTTCTGTGTGAGCTGTGCTTCATACATTGCGACACTATTTTTGCCCGCAAATTTTATTTATTTATTTATTTAACATTTCGCTAATGTGACCGCACCTTAACACCACTCAGATTACAATGGAATGCCTTTTGTTACTACATCCACCCTCTTCTGTGTAATCATGAGTTTCTAAATCAGGCCACACTTTACCTAAACGCCTGCAGACAAATATGCTTTGGGCCTTGACTCATTTTTTTTACACTGATTCGTTTTTTTTTTTCCAAGCATGTTTTAAACCTAGTCAGTTAAGACTGACTGTACTGTTAAAATAATAACAGTAGGCCTAATTTCAATTACATTTTATATTCATTCTGTTTGGGCCCAATTTCACCACAAAGCTATTTGGACCCCATTGGCTTTAACTGTATGAAGAAAAATAAATTTTTCAAAAAATACCGTTTTTGTGTTCCACTGAAGGTCATACAGGTTTGGATGCATGACATGATGGTGAATAAATTATGTGGTGAACTATCCCTTTAAGTATATTTCATGCTACACAGTCCTCGGACACAGCGTGTTAAATGCTACCCAGAGAGAACGTCTGCAAGATGTCTGTTAAAGATCTCTTCATCTGGAAAGCATCTGCTGTGTACAAACATCTGATAGACGTCTTTAAGATGTCAGTTTTACATTCATATTAAATAATAAACATCTTAAAGACATCTAAACGCCTATTTGACATCTGATAGGAAACGTCCTATAGACGTATTGCAGATGAGCAAACACTCTAAAAAATACGTCTTACAGATGTAATGCAGACGTCTCCGTGATGTACGTCTGCTGTCAGGGTAGTGCATGTAAATGCTTAACAATAAATAAATTAAAGTGTGATCAAGTCTATTGTTCAATAGCCTACACATCAAAAATACAAATTTCAGCTTTATTTTACTGAATACCATGATTAAACTGCAATCATTAGTGAAAAAAGGCAGCCATATGAGTGGGACTGTGGTCACGAGAGCCGTTTCAGTGATACATAATTTCTACAACAGGTGTTTGAGATTCTGCACTCGACCCGTCCTTTGTTTCTCACGCCAGCTGTACGAGAGGAAACCATGACAGTGCTGTTATAAATATTACACGTTCACTGCACTTTCCCCTGAAGTCCGAGGTGCATGTGTCCGTTATTTAGCAGTGGAAAAAGGAAATGAATCTGAGGGTAACAGGAGCACTTCTCTCTGCGGACTCCTCGGAAGAGCTTTCCTCCGGCGAGAGGTTGTTCCCCAGTACCGAAGTCTCTTGACCCGCTTCAGCTGACACGCTGCTCGCCTACATCGAGCAATATACTGTTTTCATTTCCCCTTTTTCGCGATTTCATGAAAAACAGAGAAAGTTTTAGAAACCTGTGGCTGCACGGAAATAAAAACCTATTGCTGAAATCACAGCTGGACAAAACCACAGCCAAACTCGTGCACCACTATCCCAAAACTACTTTACTGTTTTTGTGAATGTACATTTTAACAGATAAAAATATGTATTACTACCAACGCTGCATAAAACTAAGTTGGGCTTTAGTTATGCATTTGTTGAATTATTAAACTGGTAACTGAAGGTTTACTAATAATCAATATTTTTCCCTTATCCATTACTGCCCTCTAGTGGTGATTAAAACACTCTACACAAAAACAAACTTCTATCTATCTGCAAAACGTATAACTCACCGAAAACATTTAATTCATCCTTCAAAACCCTAGTTACTTGCCACCCAAATGATTTTTTTTTTTTTTTTTTTTAAACACTGCATACTACGTTCATAGGGGCTTTTTTG